CCAGGAGGCAGAGCCTGCCTCAGCTGCGGTGAGACATTATTTCCTTGGGAGGAAACCAGCTCTAGGCAGCCAGGAAAGAAACAGTTTCCATTCTGAGAGGGAGGCGATGAGAGAGGAGGGAGGTAGAGGGAGGGGGAAGGGAGGCAGGAGGAAGGAGGGAGAAGGGAGGGAGGGTAGGAGGGAGGGAGGGAGCCACTCCAGGGCCCACAGGCCCCGGGCTCCCTGAAGCCTCGAGACATGGGTTTAAATTTAGACCTTCTATTCTGGTTCTCGCAGCCCGCCTCGCCCTGAAGCCATACAGCGGGCCAGTTTCCCCAGCACACCTACTCCTCCAGACGAGCTAGGGGTGGCCCGTGTAGTAAGCGCTTCTCCTGAAGGGGGCAGGCCCTGTCCTAACAAGTGTCTTCTGGCACTGTGGAATTGTGGTGCGGAGGAACAGAAGGGAGATCAAAGCCAGAAACCCACCACCCTGACTCCCATTCAGAACCGCCCCCCCCCCCCCCCCTTCGCTCGCCCCACTAACTCCACCGCCAGAAACCATCACGGAGAGTCGGGCAAGAGAGGGACTGATTTAGGGCACTGGGAACGTGCAGGAGGAACAGCAACAAAACATAATCATAATTCCCAGGAACCCACGTCATTCTGGTCTCTGCTCAGATGCCCCTTCCCTGACCATCCACACCAGCCCCTGCCTCTTCCTCTCTGCCTCTCACCTCCTTCGTTTTCTTCTGGTGCACAATGACATCTGATGATGCCATGTAATGCTCTGTCTCATGGGTGCCTCTCCAGAATGGAAGATCCGGGAGAGCAGGGGCTGGGTTTGCTCACTGCCGTATCCCCGGTGCCTAGAGAAGTTGGCCGTATTAGCCGCACACTTGCTATGTGCCAGGCATGGTAGTAAGTGCTTTAAATGTATTCACTAATTTCATCCTCACTACAGTCCTGGGAGGGTTTTTAGCCAAGGAGGAGAAGGAAGCGCAGAGAAGTTGAGAATCTTGCCCAAGGACACATGGTTTGACCCTGGCAGTCTGTGCTCCTGCACACGCCCTCGATCACCAGAGTGACTTGGCCCTTCCCCCCCCCCACCCCGGCCTTGCAAAGCAGCCTCTGCTGGGGAATGGCCCCCTCTCTTTCTTTCTTTTTTTTTTTTTAGAGTAATTTTTTTTATTCTTATGTTAATCCCCATACAT